AAGGACAGCCAAACCTAGTACATCCCAGTGCAAAGACAAATGCACCCCTTTGGGTAGCCTCCTTGAGTAGCCAACAGCATTATTGACTCAGTATGTTTGGAGCCTAAACACAGAATAAAACCTTGTCCAGAGCTTAGCAAGTAAATTCCAACATGCTTCAGTAATCAGCATCAACGTTGCCCCTAGTAGTTTATCAACATATTAATGTACAATGTTCATTTTTATCAGAAGAGAGGAACATAATGATGATGGATGCTAACCTCCCAGGAGATCCCTCATGTTGGAAGACTCCAACTGAGATCTAGACATCAAACAGCACTGACGCCGTGGTGCCCTCCCAGAGGCCCGACGTGCAAATCAAACTCACACATGAACCTCAAGAAAGTTTTCCATACGTGCGAGCAAAGCCCTCTCTGCAGTATTTCTACATGGCAGGAAGCACACAGTGGACTCCAGGAGGCCAGTGATAAAAGCCTGGGAAGGCAAGTTTTTCCATGTGGCAACTGCAAGCCTGCCTCCCCAGGCCAGAAAATCGGATAGCCTTCCCACGCCTTTCTAGGGGTGGGAGGACAAAGCAGACCAACACTCCGCTCCTGCCAACCATGAAGGCATTGACACTAGGATGTGCACAAACAGACATTGAACACCATTCAGGAGGCTTCCAGGAAATAAATCCCTGTGTGCTGCTGGTGCAGCGTTGCCTGTCAGACCATTTCTAACTGCTGTGGCAGCAGGGGAAATCATTCCGAATAATTGCAGGATATCTGTTTCTAAAATTAAGGGTCTTCAGACGACCAATACAGGGAAGTTGTATCATTTTGTTGAATAAAGTGTGAAAGTTTAATAGCAGAGAACTTGAATGGCAAGAATTAAGCAAGCCTTAGCTTGTGCTTGATAAACAAGCACGCTGTACCCAAAGCAAAACCATGCAAAACTTTTCAGAGTTGCAGCAAGATGGCTGTGTTGATAGCAGCACATGATTACCTTTCTGCTCACCCAAGCTTCAGAGTGAAAGGAGCTTCTTGGCGTGTTCCTTAAAACTTCCTGTTAATAAGCACGTCACTAGGCTGACCTGAGCTGACCAGGTCCACAGGAAAATCACCATCCCAGTTACAAAAGGAGTTGCACGTCCAAGAGTCCGGAAAGCATCACCAAAGGGAAAAGGTCCAGCTACCTAATACCTCTTGTGAGCATCTATTAAGGCCACTCATCTTCCGTAAAACTCTGGGCACACATGCTCTAAATAGAGAATAAACATTGATAAAGCACAAGCCACTTGTTCCATTCCTGTCTTTCACACCATTAAGGTTCTAGCCTTGAGGGCTCACACGTAAGCATCCAAAGGTGAGAAGGAGACTAAACAGATACCTATACGCAGCCAGGGTGGAGAACAAGGCTGCAGAAACACCACCACCCCCCACTTCCATGTAGTGAAAGTAATGAAAACGTCAGCAGTAATGAAAACATCCCCGGGTAAGTCACAGCAGGAGCGAAGGGCAGACAAAACGTGAGAGGAATATGGGTGTGTTAACCTGTGGCTCCAAGCTAATGTGACCTCAATTAAATTTTTGTGAATGACGGGCTTTCCCCTCTTTTATGTACGTACTCATCTCCTTGGTCTCCAAAGATACATCCACTGAGCCTACACACAGCTATTTAATCTGGGGAGCTCTCCTGGCAAGTACGAGTCAACATGTGGCAGCAGTGGCAGTGGTGGCAGTGCTGTTCCTCTTCCTCTCCATGTGAGTTTTGCTCACCATACCTTGGGTTTACTTCCTCCAACGGGCATTCCTACCACATCCAGACTCTTGCGAGAGCCCCACGGTGTAACTACTGGTCTGTCCATCCACATTTGCAACCCGTTCCTATTCTCCTGCTGCTTTAGAGCATACAACCCAATCATACTCAGGAAGGAGGAAAGCCCAGGGAGGAACACAGTTTGCAACTGGGTTAATTTGGAAATTCTTGCACTCAAATGCCGTTAAAGTGTTTGCCAGGGACTTCAGTAGAAGCAGGCTAGCTCAAATGTCTAGCACACTCCCATAGGAAACCTGTGTAAACTAATTCAGTTGAACCGTTAGCACTCGGGGTGATTAACCACAGGAGTCTCTGATCTCCCCTTATTAAAGATGAGAATGAAATTCACTGATTCATATCAGCTTAATATAAATCCTTGTGAGATTTGCAGTTGACTTCAGCAGTAGCAGGATCTGGAAACCTCCACAGGGGAAGAGCAACTCTCTTGTAAGTACACCTTCATGTGACAGGGGAAAGCTGAAGGCATTTGGACTGGATTACAATCAATGACCACGTCTGAAGCGTGCAAAGTTCCAGCCTGTGGTGTGCAGCAGACAAGTGCACAGAAGCGCTGCGGCTCTGAGAAGATTTTTATTCCGATGCCACTTTTGAATACTTGGCACTTGGTAGGCAGACATGTGCCATCTTGTTTTAAACAGCTCCATCTTCACATGTTAAATGTGCTTGAGGAGATTTGGGCTGGGGGTGATCAGGATTAAGGATGGCTGTAGGTCGATTGCAGAGATCGCTCTCTGTCACGAGAGTTTTTCCCTTCAGTAGCTAAAATAGTGCTCTGGGGCAGCTCTAGAGGTGCTCACCCCATGTCAGAGAGGCCACCCCCAATAACATCAAACCCTGTTTTTAGATGCCCCAGCCTGAGCAAAGTAGCACATGAATATAGCTTTAGTAACGCTAAACAAATCTTGTTTTTCAAGACACCCTACAAGATTGCTTGGTGGTTTACATATGTTTTATGAGACATGCTTTTTGATATGTGTTGTTCCACTGCATCCGTGTACTATCTTGCAGGTAAGTGCAACTCCAGGACGCTAGACACAATGAAACAGGTGGCAACTGCAACATGCTGTTTCTAGCTCTACCTAACTTATGAGAGCACAACTGGTGCAACTGCTCATTTCACTATTTACACCAGAGACCTCCTTAAGAACAAGGACTGCCTCTCACAGGCTGCATGCTGTACAGCAAAAATTGAGTGTTGGCTTATGTCCCAAAAGTACAGGAGTAGCATTTTGGAAATGGTTAAAGGAACAGCAGCATTTCTTTTTAAATACCAAGCTACAACTGTGCCCATTTAGGTCTGGAAAGAAAGTCATACGTGAGGACAGCTTGGTTAGGATCAGGAAAAAAAGAAAGAAAAAAAAAAATCTAGTGGGAGAAGAGAACAAAGCCCTGGTTCAAGAATGCCATTGTTCGTGCAACTGTAAACCTAGGGTCTATAAAACCACTAAGCAGAAACTGAAGTTGGCTGAAGCAGGTAATGTATTACTAAATGCTAGAGCATCTTATAAAATTCTTAAGGCTGCATAATGACAGAAGACTTGAAAGGCAAAAGAAACAAGTTTCTCAGATGAAATCTTCAGATTTCAGTACTTACAGATGTGTTAGGACATAGACCTTGCACAGATGTAAAAGGTTCTGAATGGCAGCTGTACAGATAGAGGTGATCCTGCAGCTACTCAAGTGTGCTCCAGCATTGTTGAATGTCAGGCACACAGTATGCCTCAGCTGCAACATTTACCTTGCATCTCACATCCAGAATCCACAGGCAGAGGAACAGAGGAGGTAAAAAAATTACTGGTTTAATTGTAAAAAGTTTTCACATGAAAAAAGCTTCAGATAAAAGATGACTCATAACTTTAATTTAGCTTTAAATACTTGCTATTTGCAAACCAAACAAGACATTCCCCACTCTCCCCATGTTACCTATAAACCAAACCAACAAAGATAGCTTTCAGTTGAACAAAGCATGCCTAGGAGATAAGGGGTGAGAAATATTTTCTGCATCATTATGTGACCTACATGCACTAAGAAAGAAATGGCATCAGTCACCACACAAAGAACACATCAAAATGTGAAATTTAATAGCATTCCTAAGACACATTTGGGAACAAAAAGTTGATATTGCCACTCTTGTTTTAACTACTGCAAAAATATGAATGGCTCTTGCCTGTAATTTGTTTTCCATGCTCAGCTTTATTGAAGGTTATATATACCCAAATTCCCAGCTGACTGATATTTTAAACCAGTGGAAGAGAAATCATTTCTTTCTTCTCTTTACAAAGAGTAGTGAGAAAAACAGGTCCTATTCTTCAAGCATTCATGTTGAAATCATCTTATTGCTACACATTTGTAAAGAAACTAGAGCAATGAGGTCCCTAAGGACAACTACAACAACAATGGTAACGACTTGAGGCACGCAGTGCGCTCACTACACCGAACTGCAGCAGAGTGAGTGCAACTGAAGGTACACTGGGAACCTTACAGTAACACACCTTGAGTGTACAGCTATATGGTTTGTAGACTCGTCAGCCTTCCCAAGTTATGTATGCATGCCAGGATCCCTACAGGAATTTTGGCTCTTCAGATACTGCCAAATTACTGAATTCCCAGGACAGAGCAGGCTTGAAAAGAAACTCCATGTAGTTTACTGTTAAAAGGTATTTTATGCATGCACTCTTTATTCCGTGAGTCAAGTTTATTCTTTGTGACATCACTCAGTTGATTTTTTCATTCATGTGAAAGGAATTACGTTACACCAGCTTATCTGAGAAGCCCAAGAAAATGAAGCTAGAAATCTTTCATGCTGAAAAGACCACTACAAAAAAAAATCTCTAGAATGTTATCTTTGAGTATGTAAAGCCTAATGTCCCCAACAGATGTATTTCCTCGAACAAGTAACTCAAACTGAGTTACCTTAACAGTGATAAATCACAGTTTCATCATGCAGGTGAGAAGCAGCAACTCTGATATTCAGAGCAAAAATTTTCAGTACACCTTTTTCCTTAAAAAGATGTGTTATATCAGCACTGCACTTACACAATCCGATCTTTCAGAGTCTTCAGACTATAGGCCTTTGCCACCATCCTCCCTTGCCTTGGGAAACCTGACCACTAACAAATACTTAATAAACTTTCTTTGGACATATCCATGCACAGAAGAAAATCAGAGCAGCCATTCAGATAAAATATTATAGGTTTATTTAAAACTTATTTTCCACTTGAATATGCAAAATACAAATTCCAACAAAATGTTCATTTTTACTTTGTAGTTTACAAATATACAAAATAGAAGTTTGCTTAAATTTATATTACATATTTATTATGTAAAGAACTATATAGAAAACATTTGTTCTGCTTAAGGCATATTTGGGAATAAACCATTGTACAAACTATTGCACATCGAAACCACAGTGCATTACAGACTGTCTGCATAAAGTTATTTTCTTAAAAAAGATAAACCAGGTTTATTTACCTGATTTAGGTCATTATCAGTGATCGGAAGACAAAAATATTTCCTTGTCAGATATGCAGCAGTTTGAGAACTTTGGCTTCCTGCTTTTGGTACCTCTAGAACTAACAGTCACTAAGCACCATGAAATAGGCTTTTAAAATAGAATTCTGTACCTGAATTTTTCCTCCTCTTTTAACATCGTAATGGCTTTCAGAAGGAAAAAAAAAGGAAACTACAAGATGACATTTACATCTAATATTGCATTGAAAGAAAATTAAGGGAATGCCATTTCCCTGTGTAATATCCCCACCCTCCGAACTACACACAGTCTGTTTAACCCTGATATCCGTGACTTCCAGTCACTCCTTGGCATTTCGTAGTCCGGAAATAATTCAAGTTGGATTTACAAATGGAATGATAGAAGAAGATCCAGTCATTGACCCCAATGTTTTTGGTTCTCTTTAAATGTGTATATATATATATATAAAAAAGTTGCAACGTCTGTATGCAGTTATCCCTCTTTTCCACTCTTTGGTAGACTTCACCTTGATCATCTGTAGTGCTTAAACTATGTTCTCCCCATCTTGCAGAAGACAGTCCTTGTGCTGTAAATACTGAATCTCTATGGCAGTTGGGGAAAGCTCCACTGCTTCCAACTAAAAGTGCCTCTTCATGTGTAAGGCAAGGTGGTCCGACCTGGAAAATGCTCTGTCACACCGCTGGCACTGGAAAGGGCGGTGGCCTGTGTGTTTTCTGTAGTGACGAGTAAGTTCATCAGATCGGGCAAACTTCCACCCGCAGCCTTCCCAGTCACAGTGATAAGGTTTCTCACCTTTAAAAAAACAAACAAACAAAAAAACACAACAAATGAAAACAAAACAGGTCAGTTCGGGGTTTTTTTGTGCTTACCACTTCTAACACCTTTCTTTCAAGAAACACTAACACACATTGTCCCAGGTAAGAAAAAGGGAGATGTCATAGAAAATGCAATGAACTTCTTGAAGCGGTTGCAAGCAAACTAAATAACAGAGTAAGACTGTCTTTTCAAGATGTACAGGTACTATAAAACACTCCCATTGCTGAAATCTTCACTAAAATGCTCATTTCCACTGTTTGCCTTGCACACGCATCTTCAGAGCACACAAGTTGAGATAATAGAGTGTATTTTTGCCAGCTAATGTTATACGATCAAATAGCAACCAGAAATAGCTTGGCAGACATAATGTATTTAGATAATTGTAGGTCTCAAGAATTAAAAAACAGCTGGAAACTGTTTTCATTAGCTCAGCCTGATTAAGAACTCAATCTTACTGTCTTCACTATAACAAAACCACTGTTGACAGCAAGACGAGTTTCCCTGACAATTACAAACTCCCAGTCCTACACATACTGGAGACGGTGCTGACCAGCTTGGGGCAAACGGGAAGTACTAGTCACTTGACCGATCCCCCCCCCACCACTGCCATTAGCTGAAGATGTAGCCTAAGTACTGCACTACCAGTAGTTTCTCCCCTTCCCATCTCCTCTCCAGGAGAAAGTTTTGAATCAAGTTCACAATCCAGGGATTTAAATTATGCAAATTCCCAGGTTATTTAATCACTGTTACGGAATGCCCGCACTGACGAAACCACACATGATGTACCTGCTTTCACAAGCTCAGTTACTGCAACACCACATTCAGCTGCAAGGTTGAAGTTTGAACTCAGGCTCAGATACACACTTTGGTAGATTTTATCCGAATTCTAGCATTAGCCAATCAACCATTAAATTCTGCCTCTTTGGTGCTAGTGCAGGGGAAGATGTGCTCCCACGCATAGGCGAGGCACCCCGTCAGTGCTGCCAACACAGCTGAAAGCCCTACTTGCAAGGGGCCCATCACAGTTTCCTCAGAAAGGGAACAGCGGCTTGCAGAGGTGCACAATCTCTTGCACTACAGCAAGCCAAGAGGGGTGCGTGTGTGAAGCGTTTAACCACATGCAAAGCAAGCAGTGTCTTAGAGAGAGGTCTGCTCCCTTCTCAGAAGTGGGCCAACACCATCTAGAGCAACAAATCCCAGCTGACTTCCAACTACCTGCTAATTAGCTAGCCACATAGCAAGAGAGGAGCAACAAACTTTGCCTTGGCAAGAAACCCACCCGCTCCCACATCTGAGTCATTCCGAACCATTAAGCAAAACGCCAAGCCAGTAAGCAAAGACTGCACAGGACTTCACGTAGCCAAGGGGGGAGGAAAAAAAGCTCAGAAACCCAGCAGAGAAGGGTTACGACTTGCTACTTTTAGCCCTCCTCCTGTGCTCCCCCCTTTTCAGGGTCCGAGGGTCTCACCCCACACCCCTCAGGCCAGGGCATCCCGCTGACCCTAGCACTGGGACTAACCTGTGTGGGTTCTCAGGTGTGCCTTGAGATGAGAGCTCTTGGTATAGGTTTTGCCGCAGCCCGCGTAATCGCAGGTGTGTGTGGCCGTCCTTTTCCTAGGCCATGACCGGCGTCCCCTCTTGGGCTTGGTCTCCTCAGGCTGGCAGCTCCCCGGCGGCATCAGCTCTAGAGGCAGAGAGGGAGGAGTGAGCACCGCTGCGGCCAGCACCAAAGTGGGCGCCCCAGCGTGCCCACTGCTGAAGCACGGGGACTCACCTTGGTACTGGAGTGTGCCAGGTGGCAGCTGCTCAGGCAAGAAGGTGGGGTAACCGGGGGCCGGGGGGTACCCCGGGGGCAGCGGCAGCGGTGGGTGGCTCAGCCCAGGGGCAGCAGGGAGACAGTCTCTGCCGCTCAGCATCTCCTCGGGCCCCAGTGAGGGCGTAGTCCGGGCGGGCAGCGGGCGGCCCAGGGAGAAGTCGTGCTGGGGGGCTCCTCGGGGGCCACTGCCGTGCGGTGGCGGCGGTGGGGCCAGGGTGCACGGCAGGGCAGCCTCCTGCTTGATTTTGGGGCACATCCGTGGCAGGGGGCTGTAGGGGGCCCCGGGGCCCTCGGCGCCGGGTGGCGGAGCAGCAGCTGGGGGGCCGCTCTTGGGGCTGAGCCCCGGGTGGCTGTACTCGCCCACCGCCTTCACCACGAACTTGCCCTGCAGGCTGCCCAGGGGCGGCAGCGCCGCCGGCGCCGGCAGGTACACCGGGTCCAGGTCGGGCCGCATGAGCTCAGCCACGAAGCCTCCCGAGGGGGACACGTCGGTGATGTCAGCCAAGTTGAAGGGGGCGGCAGGGCCGCCAGCGGGGGCCCCATCGCGGCT